TAACTGAATGTAATGCCATCGCTTAGAATAATGGCTTAGTTTAATTTGGTTCAATGTAAGTGTTCGCTGTTAACAAAAACTGGCCCACATCACTATTGTTTTTGCAGGGGTGGCAAAGAAACGGTCAAATGGAGTAAAACGAAGAATGAGGACAGAGAAAGGAGGGCTCATTGGAGACCCAGCGTCTGGAAAAATGGCCAAATGAAGGAAGATGCCAGTAAATATTTGCTGAACTTGCCCTGTGTGCCCATTGTAGATAAAGCCACCGAAAATAACCCTATCCAACCGGACAGAGAAGCCAAAGCATGTAGGGAAGCAGCAGCAACAACGAGACAAAACAAAACAACGCAAACCAGAAACCAAAATACCACCTCTGCTCACCACCACCCTGCACAGGCTCTGCCCACCGCCGTCCTGCAAAACGTACAGGCTCCCCTCCCAGATCCACGTGGGACTGGCTCCTTTGTACTCGAGGGACTGAGTGCACATGTCACCTCCCGGACCACTGAGGCAAGGTGTCCCCACACCAGCCCTATCCCTGACCCCATTTCATCGGTCTTCCTACCACTTAGAATGCTTCTATTTTCTTTCTTCCCTCACTAGACAGAGCGACACGAGGCTGGTCGCTTACCTGTCTCACTCACCGTTGTCGCTCCCACTGTTAGAAGCGTTTGGCACACAAGACATGCCTATTTGATGTTTATTCGCCGTAAGTGAATTAAAAACAAGAAAAAAAAAATTCCTTCCTAAAAAGAGGCTTTGCAGTCTCCAAACCTAGGTCAAAGTTCACAACCTGGGATGCCCTCTGTGACCAAGCGTCCTGCCTTTGGGCTGCCCTGTAACTAGTATTTAACTGCTCTTACCTGACCAAGGTCCTCTGCAGGCATGTGTCTGCCTCTTTGTCTCCTGTGTGGACAGGTGAACAAGTGGAATTCAGCTTCAATTCAAGACGAGCAGGTTGTCACCAAGTGAGGAAGTTTCTGTGTTATGAGCCTGGGTTCTACACCAGACTGATTTCAAAACCTAGTTTTGCTGCTTGCCAGCTGTGGGAACTTTGGGGAGTGTCTTGACCTTTCTCTGACCCAATTTCCTTATCTTTAAAATGGGAATAAAAGTACTTAACATGTAGGACAATTATGAGGAGTTAATACCTATAGACTACTTTGAACAAAGTCTAGTCCATAATGAAGATTTAAATGAAAGCCATTATTTAAAAAAAATTCTATTCTAAGGAAAACTGCTCATCCAAATTATTTGGAACTGAGTAGTTGCATCTTTGGCATAAATCCGTGTGGCATAAACAGATGAAACAGAATCCGAGAGGAAATAAGCCAAGTGGGAGTGAAGACTGGAAATACAACAATCATCTCGGGAATGGCACAGATAAGGACCCCTGCCCCCAAATGAGTGGGTTCATAAGGCCCCACACGGGGATTCCCCAGAGACCTGTCCCCAGGCTGAGGTTCCCAGTGACCGAGCCCACATGGAGTCCACCCACATGGGGTGACACCAGGTTCTAGACATGCTCTGCAGAGGACGGCAGGGTCTTCCCGGAGCCCAGGCAGTCGAACATCTCCTGGGAGGCGTAGGTCACGTACACGAGGCCGTCCTCATCTTGGTAGTCCCTGTAGACCTCTGCCATGGTCACACTGATGCTGACCAGGCTCTTATTGTTCACCGGCAAGTAAAAGGCTTCAGAGGCCCCCAGGACCAGGCGGCTCCTGGGCGGGGGGTGGGGGGGTGGGGACAGGAAAAGGAAACGTTAACTGGGCAGGGCATGGGCTCCTGACCCAAGGCCTGACTTATCTGTTTGTTCACTGCAAACATGTCTACCCAAGGAGCCCACTTCCCCGCTCTAGGAATGGTCCTCAAACTTGACAATGACCCAGGAGTGCCTGCTGAAAATGCGGATTCCTGGGCCCCACTCCAGATTTGGGCTTAGTAGATCCAGGAAGCAGCCTGGGAATCTGCAGGATTGTAAGAGAGGCACACCTGACTTTGAGAAAGATTATTCGAGAAGCACAGTCCTTCCACCTGCTTCCCTTGCTGCTGCCTGGAGGCTTTCAAAGCGTCAGATACATTTCCCTGCCTCTACCGGTCACTGCTGAAACAATAATTTATATGCGTCATTACTCAACTTTTTATACAAAACTTCATCTCTTGTCCCATTTGATTTCCTAATAACAGATAAAGAAACCAAAGCACAGAAGTTAAAGGGTTGGATGGAGGGAAGCAACTGTCCATCAACAGGCCAATGGATAAACCAAAGTGGTTTGTACACACAATGGAGCATTAGCCTTATAAAGAAGGAAATTCTGACAAGAAATTATTACAGCATAGATGAACTTTAAGAACTTATGCTAAGTGAAATAAACTAGCCAGGAAAAGACACTGTATGATTCTTCTTGCATGCTGTTCCCAGGGTAGCAAAATCGGAGAAACAATGTAGACTGGTGGTGGCCAGGGGCTGGGGGACACAGTGGGGAGTTAGCGTTTCATGAATACAAAGTTTCCATCTGGAAAGATGAAGAAGTTCTGGAGCTCAACAGTGGTGATGATTGTGCAACTGTGGGAATGTACTTAATGCCACCGAACTGTGCACTTAGAAATAGTTAAGATGCATTTTTATCACGATTAAAAATAAAAGAAAGGGAAGAACAGCTCTCTGCAGTGTCTCTGGGGTGACAAGGGAGTTGTTGGAATCCTGCAGAAAGACTGTTCCCTTCCCTGGGGATTAAAAATGCCCTGGGACCCTCTGACGGGCTCAACATGCAAGGCCACCCCATCACTAGCTAGAAAAACTATTCACAGCACCAAAATGCTAAGCAAATAGGTCTCTGTTTGCTATGAGTTTAAAGCAAAGAATTTCCTGTGTGGTGACAAGAGAATATGGAAAGCTGGGGATTCTGACGTCATTTAAGCAGCTCTGGGGTAACATTTGGAAAGGAATTACTGCCCTAAGGTCTGAAATTCCTCCCCTCGGGTTAATGCTGTAGAGAAACAGCTCCATTTGGTTGGAGTGCACGGCTGGATGGGTCTGTTGGTGATGGTTAGCCCTGTCTACTCCCCCTCGCCCAAACATTCGAGGCACAGCCAGGGCGCTCCTGGGATACAGTGATGAGGGCTACATTTATGTGGTGGGTGGGAGGGGAAATGGTTTCGGATCCTGGTTACCAAAAGGTGGATAACCTGAAGACCAAACCCTGACCACTGCGCTGCTCTCCCTCAGGGAGCAAATGGCCACTCTGCCTTCTGGGAAAGGGTAAGGCTGGGGGGAGGGGCTGTTGCAACCTCGCGCCTCAAAATTGCACCTTCACCTTCATTCTTCCACCAGGCGGTCCTTTTGTTAAGGTTGAGGGGTCCCCAAGAGTGAACGCTGTGGTTCGGAAGATGTTCAGGGCGGGGATTTTCATCTGTTTTGTTCGGTGTTCTTCCTGCAGAGCTCGATACACAATGGGTGCTTAATATCAATATGTTCAAATGCATTAATGTAGAGATTCAAAGTTATTGGGATGGAGAATGGGGAGTGCCTGAAAATTGGAGGCACATCTATATGGAAAAAAGGGGGAAATGGGGTCAAAACTCACTTTCCAGTAAAGCCACCATTGTCCCCCAGCATCTGGAGTCTGACCGGAGTTGGGATCTAAGGCTGACTTCGGTTTTCTTTCAGTTGCCCCCACTTTCCACTGGATCAACCTAACCCTTAGCAGGTCAGAGGAGAATGCGGAGTGTTCTAAAAGGGCTCATAAAAAAAATCATAATAAACACTGTGAAGAAACTGTCAGCATCAGCCAAAACCTTTGGGAGGTGGTTTCCAGTACAGGGAGACTCACGCCAGCCATACTTACTGAGCCCCAGTCAGCTACTTTTAGTTTTCATGTCATTTTTTTATTGAGGCCAGCTGGCAGGTGACAACTTCCATCGCTTAAGCTTTATTTTTAAAGCCAGCAACACTTGTCTGACTTCGCTCTTCCTTGTTCTGAGTGGGAGGAAGCTGGATATGGGGAAGGTCTGGCTCCTCTGCTCAGTGACTCCAGCAGGTGGGCAGACCATTGCTCTACCAAAAATTCCTTAGAGGCAAAATGCCGTCATTGGACATTTAAAACACCTGACACTGGACGGTTCTTTGGACTCGTTTCCAAAGTTCCTTTGGAAGATTCTCAGAGAAATTTGAAGCCAGAAATTAGAACACAGTACCAGCAAAATTTTGAAAAATAAAAGAGACAACAGCTCTTCTGTCAAATTGAGAGCCCCCACTCTCTTTAGAGTTGTAAGGTCCTTGCAACCTTTTAATGACTGTTTATTCATGAGACCATCCTTTTTATTTTTTTCTTAAAAAAATTTTTTTTGAAATGTTTATTTAGTTTTGAGAGACAGAGACAGAGAGAGAGAGCGTGTGTGAGTGGGGGAGAGGCAGAGAGACAGGGAGACACAGAATCTGACGCAGGCTCCGGGCTCTGAGCTGTCAGCACAGAGCCTGACGCAGGGCTTGAACTCGTGAACTGAGAGATCATGAGCTAAGCCAAAGTTGGACACTCAACTGACTGAGCCACTCAGGCACCCCAAGACCATCCTTTTCAAAGGCACAATTGAAGGGAAAAGGGCCAAGCAGGACTCCTTCCCTGCCTCCCTCTGCTAGATCCTATTGTTCTAAGAATCCTGGGCATACACAGCACACGTGCCAATGTGCGCTCTGTCACCTCCCAGATGACACTGAGGAAGAGGGTCATGGTCAGTGCCTGCAGGACCAGGAACCGAGTCTTGTCCAGCGGGGGCAGGAACCTCTCCCTGGGGTAGTGCTCCAATACTACTCTGTTAAGAGTCTCTGCGTGAATCTCTTTGGAAGCAAGTGTCCAAGAATGTGCTCAGTTCTCTGTGTCTTAGGAACTTGGAACAGAGAGAAGGTCATTGGGTGAGTTTTGGTTTTTCAAAGAACAGGATATTGCAGGCACCACTCAGGAAGCACAACGGAGTCTTACCAGGATCTTGCTGGGGAACTTCGCCTGGATTCTAGCGACTTCCTCTCTTCTGGTTGCTGTGAACATGTAAGTTCAAATTAATACATCGGCATGTAATAGAAGTCTGTATCTCCTCTCCTCCCTGTCTCAAGGGCCAGAACCCAGACAGCTACTCTGAGAACTTTACCTAAACTCTTCCTCTGCTTGAAGGGTCTGAGGCTTTGGGTTTTCTGTGGAGGCTGCATTTTGCTCAACAGCTGTGTCTGTGTCTGACTTAAAAAAAAAAAAAAAAAAATCCCACAACCAGGACCTAATTCATTCCTCCAGCTGCTTCCAAACCACCAGGAGCCTAAAGGAGGCCCTTAGGTAGGGCTGTGTGACATCAGGCGTCTCCAACCCGCCTTCCCCTGCCCCTCCCTGGGCAGGAGGAGGTCAGTCCTGAGGAAGGACCTGGAACAGCCCCCTGCTTGCTGGTCTGAGAAGGCCGCTTTGCTCACAACCGGTAAGGAATTTGTTTTTGTTGAAGAAATTAAGATTTACAATGTAGTGCATTGGTCCTCACACTAATGCTTACCGATGGGCCTAAGCTTAGGACCCCTGGGTAGAAACAGCTTCATGAGGACACTGAATATAGTTATGGAGCAGGTTGAAGATCGATTTCACCTCACCCCGAAACACACTGCTATTGTTCACGTAAGAAATAGATACTCCAGAAAGGTTGAGTGATTTGCCCAGATAAAAAAAGGTGAAACGGGATAAAACCCAGGTATGTATGAAAGTAGCATTTTACTCTGCAGTTTTCCAACACGTTTTGTCATATTTATGCATTCTAGGAATGTGGGTAGGACAGTTATGCTCATGCTCAGGGTCTTGTATTTAGAAAGTGATAGAACTGGGATCCACAGAAATGAACTCACTGGCCTAAGAACCAGTAAACAGGCAGATCCGTTCTCCTTTCTGGGCCACGATGTTCTACCCCACTGTGCTTGTCTTATGCACCAGTGTGGCTTTCGTGACTGCTTCCCCTTCAGGAACACAGTATTGCTACTGAGGTCAGCTGCCTCCTCACCTCACATCCCTCTGTCTTATTCAGACCTATCCCTGTCCTGAGAATAAACAGGACCCTTTGCATCTCCTCTATAGCGAATGGAGACACCGTGATCTTCAGAGGGTGTCCCCGGCACCATTCCATGCAGAGATACCTGACATTTGAAGAGTCTTCTGCCAAATGATAATGATGTAGAGGAAAGTGACCAAACATTCTCCAGGTTGTTGAGGGACAGAAGGAAAGGTAGTATTTTATATAATTTTTTAAAATCTATTTTATTTTATTTTATTTTATTTTATTTTATTTTATTTTATTATTTTATTTTATTTTATTTATTTTAATTTTGCCTTTCCTCCTGCCTAGAAGGCTGGGACAATGATTGCTGAGCTCACTCTGAGTCTTTGAGTCCACAGAGAGGAAAGGGAATGTGGACTTAGTAGGTAGAGCATTTCTCAGTGGTTTCAATACAAGGGCTCCTTCTCCATGGACAACATCATTCCCTGCCTGTCTCGGCCCAGTGGGGGAAGTCAGGGCAGAGACTTGAGGTACCAGAGTCCAGTTCCAGGCTCTGGCATATCTTCCACAGAGACACAACTGCCTTGGGACCTCTTTCTCATTCTTCTCTTAGCCTCATGTCTCTTTCTTCCCTGTCTCCATGCATATCATTCAACCAATCCCTTGAGCTGTGGGCTTTCAAATTGTTTCTTAATGTTCAAGAAGAAAGAATTCTATATATTCCATATCAACTTCACAAGATTTCTTTCCACAGTTATCTATATTTTACTTGGAAAAAAGGATCATTACTGACATTTAATGACTTTGTAGTTAGAACAGGCTGTGCAATAAAAAATACACGCCACATCCATTAGTGAAACATAACAAAAGCTTGATTCTTCCCACATCACAGCGCACCTCACGTGGGAGGCTTTCCTGTTTGGCTCTCTTCCAGAAGAAATTCAGGTGCCCATGTGACTTTACACTTGCAATTGTGTCTTCTCAAAATCCTTTGCTTACACATGTTCAGAGGAGAAAACTAATTTGCTTTTTCTAAGCAAATTCTTTTTTCCCTCTCCTCTTTTCTTTCTTTCTTTCTTTCTTTCTTTCTTTCCTTTCTTCTTTCTTGCTCTCTCTCTTCTTTCCTTTCTTTCTTTCTCTTCTTTCTTTCTTTCTTTCTTTCTCTCTCTCTCTTCTTTCTTTTCTCTTTCTCTTTCTTTCTTTCTTTCCTTTCTTTCTTCTTTCTTGCTCTCTCTTCTTTCTTTCTTTTCTTTCTTTCTTTCTTTCTTTCTCTCTCTTCTTTCTTTTCTCTTTCTCTTTCTTTCTTTCTTTCTTTCCTTTCTTTCTTCTTTCTTGCTCTCTCTTCTTTCTTTTTCTTTCTTTCTTTCTTTCTTTCTTTCTTTCTTTCTTTCTCTTTCTTCTTTCTTTCTTTCTTTCTTTCTTTCTTTCTTTCTTTCTTCTTTCTTGCTCTCTCTCTTCTTTCTTTTCTTTCTTTCTTTCTTTCTTTCTTTCTTTCTTTCTTTCTTGTTGGTTAAATTGATTTCTTGATTGATTTATACAATAGCTTGTTCCTAACGGATTTGGAACTTGTGGGTCACCTAAGAATGTGAATACTAGGAGGCAGGGATCATCAGGGGCCATCATGAGGCTGGCTACCATAGGAGATATTTTCTATGAGCTCCTGTTTCCTCTTCTATAATAATGGAAATAATTATTTTAACTCCACAGCAACATACTTTTATTCATCCATTTACCCACTCAGAAAAAAAAAAAAAAAAATCCTTAGATACCTACCCTGTCACAGGCACTGTGGTAAGTGCTAAGGAAAGCAGTCATTACAGTTACATAGTTTCTGTCTTTCCATCTTCATTGAGCTTACAGCTTACTGAGGAGTAGACAATAACAACAAATACACAAATAAAAGAAAGATCTCAAGTGAGGACAATTACCTGGGGGTTGCCAGTGGGCATTCTGAGTGGAGCTATATTTCAGTGACTAATTCTTGGCCTACCCGTCCATCCCTTCCCTTTCCTACCCACTCACACCCAATAACTGCTCACTGGAACTGCCCAGAGTTCAAGTCCAAACTCCGGTTAAGACCTTAGCAGTCTGAGCCCCTTCCTGAACTTCCAACCCCCGTCTTGCTCCCCTGGTGCAAACCCCCTGATCTGGCTCAGCTGGTCTGTTTTGTGCTAACACTCTGTGCATCTCCTTCTCTAAGCTTTGCTCACACAAAGTCCCTGTGCAGAATGCACTCCCCACCCCACTGCCTCTTATCGATCTCCATCACATACATCCCATTCAAGCTCCGTCAGGTTGTAAATCCTAAAAAGTCCCAAAGAGGGGCCTATCCTTTACCCTAGAAATACTTGCTGTAGGTACAACTCATTTTGCATTGTCAGACATATTTATATTTAGCTTCTCTTGTGTACATGAAATACGAATAACTCTGGCTCATTTCCAGCAAATATTTCCTTAACATTGCAGAGGATACAGAGATAACTAAGACACAGCTCCGACCCACACTGGGATGACCACACTTGGTCACTCCTTTCTTGTCTTTGTCCTCTGCATCAGCAAGGCCATTTGTTGCTTGGGTCTGATCCAGTCTAGGACAAAAATACACTTGTAAAATGCCCTAACAGGCATGGCATCCAGGATGATTTACATCAGGGAATGGAGTAAATCTAATGCTTCCAAGGAAGGCTGCCAAGTGCTTTTCCCTTTTAGTCCCTTTTCTATAAATTGACTTCATATATTTGTGGCTAGTAAAATTTTAAAAATATTCCTACTTTGGTTAATAAATTCACTTTAAAATCTCACTTACTATGAAATCTCGTGAGGCTCTTCACTTTTTTTCAAAATGCAGTACTGAAATATTTGAGGAAATGTTTGAATACTGAAAAAAAAATCTAAAAGCATTAATTGAGAGACAATTAAGTAAACCATGACACGTGTTATGGAGAAGAATGAAAAACAAGTTAATCTATGTATATTAACAGGAAAAGATATTCAAGTCACATGTAGATTTTAAAAAGTTAGCTGCAGAAATCGTGTTTTAAAAAATCACATAAAATAAAACTTCATAATTTTCCATCAACCTGATAATAGGGGGAGGGGATTAGGATTGGGGTACTAATCAAAAGAGACTTGAAGCTGGTGTGTAATGCTAGAATTTTTGTAAGTGAGACTACATTTGTGCTCTATTTTTTAAAATAGACTTACAGGTGCTTGTCCTCGCCCTTCAGATATCAAGCAATGTGGAGGGGCTGCCCTCTTGTGGATCTTGTGGAACAGTCTTTAAATGGTTACTCAGAAATCAATTCACTGTGTTTTATTCCCCGAATCTTGGAGTTGTAAACTTCTGAGTTACATGGCAACCCCTCATGTTTGTCCCACAAGAAAAAAGACAACACGGCTTCTGTGGTTAACCCAAAGTCACTTATTTTAGGCAGATAGATTACTATCTGGAATTCTTCAATGATTCTTCTGCCTCCCCTAAATCATAAGTCAACAAGTGTTAAACACCAAAGTGTGTTTTGAAAGACACGAGGTGTGGTATAACGTTCAGCACTTGGTAGCTAGACGTCAATAAGAGGAATGAGGAACACTGGCCCTTTTGCCAGGATCTTGCTGGGAGTTGAGAAACAAAGGAGGATAATGCTTTTATTATGTAGTGGATTGCAAAATCTAATATAATTGACACATTTGATAATAGCATTTAATAATAGGGTAACCTCAAGGCTGTACCTCGTCAATAAACAAGCACCAAATAAGGAACAGCCGCTTACTGCTGGGAAGGGGCAAGGGTGTGGAGAGAGACCCCTTCTGGGCCACAGGTGCATGAGGAAGGCTGACGCTGAGGGTACTGCAGGAACACTGATGAAAACAATACAACCCTGGCACCAGAGCCCCACCCAACCACAGGCAACGCTAGAGGAACATGAAGGCAGTGGTGCCCTTACGATGATTGTAGTAACAACAAATCCAACCCCATTAAACTCCTGACTAGCTTTCCCAATGCCCCGCTCTGATGAATAGAAGAGGCATGCCCACTTCTGGGCATAGACATTGTTTCAGTCACTATAGTTCTATATCGGCATAGATGGCATTCAACCAAAAACAATGACACAAACACAAAAATAAATAGGGCAAAAGAAACTGTCAAACACACAAGATACAGAACCAGACTCAGAGATGAGC